CAATTTTATTTTACCCCTAGAAGTGTCCCCTATTGTCCGATTAAATTTAACTTAGGGAGCCCAAAAAAGCGGCCTTCAAATTTTCCCAAGGCTAATTCCCCACAATTTTTTTAAGGTCAAACCCCACCTTTGGGTTTTAAAACCCCCTTTTAGAAAATTATTTTTTGTAGCCGTAGAATTTAATTTTAAGGAATTCCAAATTTTTAAAAGGCCTCCCTTTTTAAAAAGGGGTAACCCAAAATTTTTTACCCTCATTTTCAAAAACAAATTCCCCTTTAAAAAATTTTGGCTAAAAATCTCCTTCCGAAGTGCAAAACATTTAAAATTTTTTTCTTTTCCAAGCCCTTCTTAAATTTTTCTTAGTTATTCAAATTTTGCATTAAAATTTTTTTCTCATTCCAACCTGACAGTTACATTTTTGTCATTTAATGGTTTTTCCAAAGAAAACGTAACAAATTTGGGTTTTCCATTTATTTCAACCTCAAAAATTTTAGTTTTTTAAAAAACGCTGGGGCCCCTTCCTTCAATTTTCATTTTTTATTTTTGCCCCTTTTATCACTTTTTCCTGTAACACATCTTTCGAAAAATTATTAAAATTGGGGACAATTTTTTACATTAGGATTTGTAGGGTTTCCTTTTCATTAATAAATTATTAAGATTTAACCATCATATGCTTCCTTTGTTTTTAAAAGGGTTTTTAACAAAAATTTTTTTACAATTACAAAAGACTTTTAAATTTTCCCCCAACTTTCAAAATTTTAAATTTTTGGGACGAAATTTCTTAAAAAGGGTCCCCCCAAAACAATCTTTTTTTTCTGGGCTTTATTAAGGGCTACTTAGGGGGGTATTTTCTTTTAACCCTTTGGGAAAAATTTTTTTTTCTCATTGCCCAAAACCTTTTAAAAAATGTTTTATTTTTAAAATTGGGTTTTTTCCCGGAAAAAAACCCAGTTTTTATTGTTGATTTTAAAAAATTTTTTTTCCAATAACAAAATTCTTTTTAGAAGTCTTATTTTCCCCGCCAATAACCCGTTAAATTTTTTGAATTTATTAATGTTTTTCCAAATTTTTCTGTACAATGGCACTTCAGCTACCTTTAATTTATTTAACATTTTTGAGGCCCCTTTTTAAAGGAAAATTGTAAATGTAAATTTTTTAAATTTCAAATTATTTTAATAGACCAACCACTTTTTTCTTATTGCCTTGTGGGGCTTAAAACAAGTTTTTAATTTCATTAAACTTTCAAAGTGGATTCCCACCCCTTTTAAAAATTTGTAACCTCCATCTCCACTTTAAAAAAACAAAAATTTCCCCCAATTTTCACGGATTTCTAGAAAATTTGGGGGTTTTGCCCAAGGGCATTTTTTTCTTTTGCCCGGTTTTCCTTTTTTTTTTAAGGCTACTTTTTAAAAAAAGAAATTTTTTTTATTCTTACTTTGGAAAATTTTTTTTTTCGATTCCTCAAAATTATATACTAAAGTAACTCTTGGGAAAAAAATTTTTTGATATTAAATTGGAAAAATTCCCCTTGGACTACAGGGGGCCCCCCGATAAATTTTCATTTTAAAGGGGTTGGTTGGGTGCCCCAAACTGACATTAATTTTTAAATTATTTATTTTCCAAAAAAAAGGGGGGGGGGAAAAAATGGATTCATCAAGGAAAAATTTGTACAAAACCCCCATTTTCCAGTGTTCCTTCAGATTATATTTTTAACCTTTTTTTAAACATAACCAAAATGGCCGAAATTTGTTATAACTAGAAGGGTTACTTAACTGTGGGTGATTGATACTCCTTATTTCTTCCATTCACCATCTCAGTTTCGATGTCCTGCTACACCGACAGGGTTTTCTCATTCCGGCAGGACGAGGTATCCGTCGGTTTGTCCCGGTTAGAAGTCGTGATTCCATAAATCTCCATTATCCCCGGTACGAGAGTCACACGTTCACTCGGAGCAAGGCGCTCTATTTCACATCCCGCATTCTCTTAACTCAATGTTATTATCACTGATTACATTACCATTCACAAGACGATTTAACGTCTTGTAACTATTACACAAATTAGAGGTCACTCCATTAAGATCTGAGGCCGATGAGCGAGGATTAACACACGGGTATGTCCCCTGGACACACACCCTGGCCGTGCACCTGACACCCGGTCCTACTCTTATCACACATTTTACCACTCTATTACCGTGGTCCGTAAATCACGTTCCCTCACTCTCCACCAGGAACAGTTACGACACTTCTTATTATGAAATGAGGCCTATATTAATCCTTAGGCCGCCGTGAATGCCAATTTCGTGGTTCCATGCTTTCTCAGCTTCCTCACCACATTCAAAACAATCCGCGCCTCCCCCCCCCGCACATCCGCGCATGCGCAAAGGGAACTCTTGGTTCTACTCTTATTTTCAAATACATTTTTGACCCATATAGACACATTAAACACCTATTAGGCACTATAGTTTCGGAAAATTAAAAAATTTTCCACAATACTGATTAATCATAAGATCTACTTCAGTCTCCTCTACACAGTTTACTAACAAATCTCCTTCATATTTGTTGTACTATAATTTGTATGAATCATATCTATTATCTAAAGCATCTAAATAAAATTTTAAATCATCAGTATTCACAGTTTCTTGATTCATTAATTCCAAGCATTTATTGTATATTTTTGTTACATGCCTTTTTTTTTTTAGCTTGCAGTGATGCTTTCTTTGCTCTATATTCCATATGTTTCTCTTCTACATTAATTTCCTCATTTTCAGCCATGATGTAATGTATTGAATTCAACTTTATTAATAACACTGATACAACATACCTCTGATGAATAAATCCTAGCTACTTGAGCCTAGCAATTACATATAAAAAATTATAATATAATTTTAAATGTGCATTAATACAAACCTTTAGCCAAACTTGGCTTATCAAAATTAATATTATACAAATTAATAAATCCTTGCCAGAATTTGGCATAGCAAAATTAATATTATATACATTAATAATCTTTAGCCACACTTTTCTTATCAATTACACATACACTGATATAAATCTTGGCCAGAATTGTCTTATCAAATTAATATTATACAAATACATTAATATAAATCCTAGCCACTTTGGCTTTGCAAAATTAATATTATACACATTAATATAATTAGCTACACTTGACTTATCCAAATTAATATTGTAATAATTATAATCCACTACACATTCAGTAAATTTGGGAACTTAACATCCACCTCCTGTCATTTCACATATAATTAAGTAATTAACTAATTAATGACTTCACTAATTACCTCCAGTTCAAGAAGGACCAACGGGCAAATTAATTGTGGAAAATTACATTTATCTGTATGTAACTCATTATGTACATAACGGTAAATAACAAAGATAATTATTATTTATCAATGTTACATAGACAAGTAGGAATTTGGGACACCTAGGTCGCAAAAGATGTCCCCTTGGATACCTACCACTGTCATAACCACAAGTTGTCTGGACCTATTAATTATAAATGAAATATACATCACCAGGAATGCTGGTAAAATATATAAATTTGTGGACTATATTAAAATGATTGTAGATACACACATATACACATTTATACAACAGGAGAATATATCTTAATCATAACACTCGCCAATTTGACTGGAGATTAATGTGTCATGTACAGGACCTCCCCCTTTTGCCCACATTTATGAAGAATTTACTGGCCAGAAATTAAACATAATTTAGACAGCTTATCTGAGGTTCCTGGAGTTGTCCTGTCCTGTCACCTGATTCTCAAGTTATGCAGGAATGCACATCCAACAATTTCGCCTCCTATTTGAGAGGTGTCAGCCCAATTTTAACCTTTAGAGCACGAAAAATTCTTCCCATTATTCATAACGTGTTATTCAATTCAAACAAAATGGCGACTCTCCTCTTTTTTAAAAATACACTTTTATTAAATACAATATAGGGCATCTATTTACCTATAAATTACCGTATTTCCGGAAAATATACAGTATTTTCCACAGTAACTACTGTTGCTGCTGCTGTAACTACTGTTGCTGCTGCTGTAACTACTGTTGCTGCTGCTGTAATTTACTGTTGCTGCTGCTGTAACTACTGTTACTGTGATTAATTTTCTATTATTCAACAATTAAACTTTAGTGGAATAATTCTTTGTTGATCTGTTATTGTCCCGTCTTGCTATATAATAGCGAGAAAAACTTGGCTACAGATTATCAGCTAAAGGAAATATAATTAATCATGCTAATTCTGCTTCTATTACTTCTGACAAGTTTAAATTGATGTTTATCCTTTGCTTTCATAGTAACTTGTTGCCTTTCTCCACATTGCCTGTAACAGTGAGGTTGCTAAAGAGTTATTTATCTAATATATCCGTTCCATTAGTTGTCTGAAGTCCAAGCCTTGACTCGTATAACTGACGTCTTATTCAGTTACAAAATGATGTCCATTGTATCTAACCAGCATCTCCAAGTATTCTTGCTATCACTTCTTGTAGCTTTTGTTATGCTATTCTCTGTACTGAACTACTACTACTACGGAATGGTTGATGTGCATTCTCCAAACTTCAACAATAGCTTGTTAATTTTATCCCCCAGTAATGGGCAAATTTAATGACAGGGGTCAACTGCTGTTAGTGTATGGGGCCTCTTCTGTGAATATCAAAATGGTATACAATACCGACAGGTTGGTAGGTAAGACACATAGGCAATATACAGGCAACTTTATTCCGAAACGTTTCGCCTGAGTCTACTGTGTAGGCGAAATGTTTCGAAATAAAGTTGCCTAAATGTTGCCTGTGTCTTACCTACCGGCCTCTTCTGTGAGGAGTGCCACTCCACAGTGCCTGCCTAAGAACCTAGCATCCTTCTCTATAAATAGTGGATATTTTCCACTGTTCTTCAGGACAAAGTCAGACTTCTTGCCTTCCCCAGAGACTTAATGTGTGGTATAAAATGTTAAATGTCTAACACAAATGTTATCTTACAGAACACTATGGCATATAGAGACTGCCAATTGTGTGCGAGGCTGTCTGACCACTGTTATACATTTTGTAGCCATCACTTCTGCGAATCATGTCTTCGGGCCATCCATAGAAACGGGAAATGCCCCATCTGCGGGTAAGTAACAGTTGTGGTCCCCATTTCTACAGTTTAATATGTTTATTATGCACCCCATACCCATCCTGTGGGCGGTAGTCATACCCATCCTGTGGGCGGTAGTCATACCCATCCTGTGGGCGGTAGTCATACCAATCCTGTGGGCGGTAGTCAAAATATTAGAGGTACATAATTGGTCCAGGGACTGGGCCCCACAATTTCTACACCAGTCTGTTGTAGTGTAAAATATTACCTCTAGAGTTTCTCTACTCTCTGAACCCAGCCATGGGCCAGGCTCATCTGGTGCTTGCTTGGTCAACCAGGCTGTTGCTGCCGGGGGGCCCGCTGCCCCGCATATCCATCACAGCCTGGGGTTTTTTATGGCACCTGGTGAAAATACTTGTCCAGTTTCCTCTTGAAGGCTTCTGGAAAAGTGTAGAAGCCTTCAGAGGAAACTGGACAAATATCTTCACAGGTGCCAGATCAACTAGGTTGTGATGAAAAATGTGGGGGAGCAGGCCCCTGGCAGCAAAAAGCCTGGTTGAAAACCCAAACAAGCACCAGATGAGTAGAGAAACTCTAAGAGTAATGTTTTACACTACAACCCGACTGGTGTAGAAATTGTGGGGCCCAGTCCCTGGACCAATTATGTCCTCTAAAATTTTGACTACCGCCCACACTATTGTCTCAACTATTGGACCACTACGACAAGGTCCTAAATGCACTAGAAGACAAAAAGAATGCAGATGTAATATATACGACTTTGCAAAAGCCTTCGACAAGTGTGACCATGGCGTAATAGCGCACAAAATGCGTGCTAAAGGAATAACAGGAAAAGTCGGTCGATGGATCTATAATTTCCTCACTAACAGAACACAGAGAGTAGTCGTCAACAGAGTAAAGTCCGAGGCAGCTACGGTGAAAAGCTCTGTTCCACAAGGCACAGTACTCGCTCCCATCTTGTTCCTCATCCTTATATCCGACATAGACAAGGATGTCAGCCACAGCACCGTGTCTTCCTTTGCAGATGACACCCGAATCTGCATGACAGTGTCTTCCATGCAGACACTGCAAAGCTCCAGGCAGACATCAACCAAATCTTTCAGTGGGCTGCAGAAAACAATATGAAGTTCAACGATGAGAAATTTCAATTACTCAGATATGGTAAACATGAGGAAATAAATCTTCATCAGAGTACAAAACAAATTCTGGCCACAAAATAGAGCGAAACACCAACGTCAAAGACCTGGGAGTGATCATGTCGGAGGATCTCACCTTCAAGACCATAACATTGTATCAATCGCATCTGCTAGAAAAAATGACAGGATGATAATGAGAACCTTCAAAACTAGGGAGGCCAAGCCCATGATGACACTCTTCAGGTCACTTGTTCTATCTAGGCTGGAATATTGCTGCACACTAACAGCACCTTTCAAGGCAGGTGAAATTGCCGACCTAAAAAATGTACAGAGAACTTTCACGGCGCGCATAACGGAGATAAAACACCTCAATTATGGGAGCGCTTGAGGTTCCTAAACCTGTATTCCCTGGAACGCAGGAGGGAGAGATACATGATTATATACACCTGGAAAATCTAGAGGGACTAGTACCGAACTTGCACACGAAAATCACCCACTACGAAAGCAAAAGACTTGGCAGACGATGCACCATCCCCCCAATGAAAAGCAGGGGTGTCACTAGCACGTTAAGAGACCATACAATAAGTGTCAGGGGCCCGAGACTGTTCAACTGCCTCCAGCACACATAAGGGGATTACCAACAGACCCCTGGCAGTCTTCAAGCTGGCACGGACAAGCACCTAAAGTCAGTTCCGGATCAGCCGGGCTGTGGCTCGTATGTTTTGGTTTGCGTGCAGCCAGCAGCAACAGCCTGGTTGATCAGGCTCTGATCCACCAGGAGGCCTGGTCTCAGACCGGGCCGCGGGGGCGTTGACCCCGGAACTCTCTCCAGGTAAACTCCAGGCAAGATGGGTATGACTACCGCCCACAGGATGGGTATGGTTGACCAGGCAAGCACCAGATGAGCCTGGCCCATGACTAGGCTCAGAGAGTAGAGAAAATCTCGAAACTCTTCAAACATATTAAATAGGAACTAAATAGCATAATTCTTACGAAATTGGAAAGATAGTTATACCCACCAGACCCACACTTAGTAAGAGACCCTTATGAGTGTTTCAGTTTGTCCTGAACCATAGACACAACTGGGATGATGAAAGTCGAGAAAGACAGAAGACAATCCAGTTATGGGCAGGGAAAGAAGGGACTTGTGCAGTGGTGTTGCTAGGGTTGGTGTCACCTGGGGCGGCATCTGTGGTGTCACCCCATGAAATCCAAAGGCGTCACTACTGCATAACCGATGACTAATGTTTAGCAATGAGAACGTTTAAGGGCCATAAACCAAACATAATACTTCTCAACTTTATTAATGATGTAATAAATAATCGCAGTAATGTTGAGGAAACATAAAAACCACTTTGAGTACAGGCAACAGATCCTACATTTATTAATCTTCAACAATGTTGATAAATTAGACACATGTGCAACTCTTGGGTATCTTTATTGAGGAAACGTTTCGCCACACAGTGGCTTCATCAGTCCATACAAAGGAGAATCTTGAACAGGAGGAGAATGAGGTAATCAGTCCCTCAACCTTGAGTCGATGTGGTCAGTCCATCAATCTATTCAAGATTGATGGACTGACCACATCGACTCAAGGTTGAAGGACTGATTACCTCATTCTCCTCCTGTTCTTCAAGATTCTCCTTTGTATGGACTGATGAAGCCACTGTGTGGCGAAACGTTTCCTCAATAAAGATACCCAAGAGTTGCACATGTCTAATTTATCAACATGTCGGTTCTCTGAACCATTCATCTACAAATCTTCAACAATGCAAAAAAACTTGCAATGTTTTTCTTTATTTTTCAGTATCAGAGAAACACTAGTTCTAATTTGACCTCGAGTACAGGTAACATCCCACTGAATCAAATCTTGCATTTTCCTTGCCTTCAATCCTGAAAAAATCATCTATTTTATTATCATAATGCTGTCAACTGACCCATTTTCTATGGGGTAACATTGCCAAGTCAGAGATTGTAGACTGACTCGTGGACCGTAACTAGTTTTTAAATGAGCATCAACTTTGAGAAACTCCTTTCACAAGAAGCCACAGAAACACAGTAAGGAACAACCTCAGACAGAAACACCAGTGCATCCCACTGACACAGCTAACAAGATAAACGACTTCTTCTCAACCATAGGATCTAATCTCGCCAATAAAATCCCACATACCAATGCCCACGCCGGGGACTACCTAGATGGGAATTTCCCAAATTCCTTCTATCTTGCACCAACTGAGCCAACGGAAGTCACTGAGATTATAAAGTCACTTTAAAAATAACTGGGAATCTGTCTCATGTCCCACCATTATTGTACAAGCGAGTGGCCCATGTCCTTTCGCATGCTATTTCATTACTTTTTAACAAGTCGCTAGAACTAGCACCTTCCTGAAACTACTCAAGATGGCAAGGGTTACACCAATACATGAAGGTGGTGACCCTACAGATTTAAACAACTATAGGCCAATATCAAACTTACCATTGCTATCCAAAATCTTTGAGAAACTCTTGCACAGGAGACTATATTCATTTATAACGGCACAAAACATACTCAAACCCCTGCCAATTTGGATTCAGGAAAAATAAAGCACTAATGATGAAATCATAAAAATGCTAGATCTGCTTTACACAGCATTGAAAAATAAGGAATATCCACTAGGAATTCTTATTGACCTAAGAAAAGCTTTTGACACGGTAGACCACGGCATCCTACTCCACAAACTTGACCATTACGGTATAAGAGGCCATGCGGTTGCATATTTCAAATCTTGCCTTACTAATAGGTATCAGTATGTCACCATTAAAGACACAGCATCAACAACATGGCCACTTGATATGGAGTTCCGCAGGGAAGTGTCCTTGGTCCCCTGCTCTTCCTCGTATACATCAATGATCTTCCAAACGTATCCCAACACCTGAACCCCATTCTCTTTGTTGACGACACGACTTATGTCATCTCTCACCCTAATCTTGCCACCCTCAACACCATTGTTAACGAGGAGCTGCTCAAAATATCGACTTGGATGACAGCCACTAAACTTACACTTAACACTGACAAAACCTACATATTATGTTTGGTAGCTGAGCAGGATTTGCGTAGATTAACATTAAGATCAACAACACTCTAATTGCCAGACATAATGAGGGCAAATTCCTAGGCCTATACCTCGACAACAACCTGAATTTCAGCACCCATATCCAACACATAACAAAAAAAAGTATCCAAAACGATTGGGATCCTCTCCAAGATATGATACTACATGCCGCAAAATGCCCTTCTCACACTATACCACTCATTTATCCATACCTCACCTATGCTATTTGTGCTTGGGGATCAACTGCAGCAACACACCTAAAGCCAATAATAACCTAACAAAAAGCCACAGTAAGAATCACTAAATCCCATCCCTGGCAACACACCCCCCACTCTTCATAGATCTAAACTTACTCCCTGTTCAGTACATCCACACTACTGTGCAATCTACATCTACAGGACCTTAAATTCCAATATTAACCTTGACCTAAAATGCTTTCTTGATAGTTGACAGAACCCACAGGCATAACACCAGACACAAACATCTCTGACATTCCCCATGTCCGACTAAACCTTTACAAAAATTCTATGTATGTCAAAGGCCCTAAAATCTGGAACACCCTACCTGAAAACTCAAACTGCAGACACATTCATCACCTTCAAAACTATCATTAGCAAACATCTCCTCCCTGATACACCCCGTCAACTAATTACACGAATACCACCTGGTGGTTCAAACTTACTCACTCGCCCATTTGACCATAAACAGAAATATCAATCTTAAAATAATGAATCCTAACTAGTCATTTAAGTTGGCCTGTGATACTCCAATACTGAAACTATGTATTGTGCCAAAACAAAGCATTCACATTGCTAAACTCACAAACTAATATTTAGCCACTTAGCCATAATACAACTTACCTCATAATTTGTAATATTTTAAATTTAAGAATTAATCTAAGTCTTCCCGAAATTTCAATTTCTCAGATATGGTAAACACGAGGAAATTAAATCATCTTCAGAGTACAAAACAAATTCTGGCCACAAAATAGAGCGAAACACCAACGTCAAAGACCTGGAGTGATCATGTCGGAGGATCTCCCCTTTCCCAAGGACCATAACATTGTATCAATCGCATCTGCTAGAAAAATGACAGGATGGATAATGAGAACCTTCAAAACTAGGGAGGCCAAGCCCATGATGACACTCTTCAGGTCACTTGTCTATCTAGGCTGGAATATTGCTGCACACTAACAGCACCTTTCAAGGCAGGTGAAATTGCTGACCTAAAAAAAAGTACAGAGAACCTTCACGGCGTGCATAAGGAGATAAAACACCTCAATTACTGGAGGGCTTGAGGTTCCTAAACCTGTATTACCCGGAACGCAGGCGGGAGAGATGCATGATTATATGATTATATATCACCTGGAAAATCCTAGAGGGACTAGTACCGAACTTGCACACGGAAATCACTCGGGCCGCGGGGGCGTTGACCCCCGGAACTCTCTCCAGGAGAATGATTTTGAAAGGTTTGAGGCTGACCCTGTGCCTATTGTGGTATCTATTGTGTCCTTTGGGAAGTCCATGGGGTTGGATGTGAGTGACCAAGATGTATAAGAGTTGGTGATGACCACAGGGAAGAGTAACCACTGAAGAGCTGCAAGACTTTCAACTGGAACAGCAACAGACTGCTGCTGAGGAACTTGCTTCAGAGGAGGAGGAAGAGAGGGGGGAATGTGCCTTCTCAGTGGTTAAGGACATTGTACAAAGTGGACTGAGTTGCAAAGTTTTGTTGACAAATATCACCCTACAAAAGCTGTTGCAAGCTGTCTGCAACATGTTCAATGACAATGCCTTGTTCCATTTTAGGTAAATCTTAGAGATGCATGAAACAGACCTCTTTGGATCATTTTTTTTTTCTACAGGGGTACAGTGACTCCCGAGCTGGTCCTAGTGCCCGTAAAAGACAAAGAAAGGAAGTAACCCTGGCTAGGGCCTTAGATACCTGAAGTCCTTATGGAAGGGGATTCCCCTTCCAAACAATAACCTCCTCCCTCTCCTTTCCTCGCTGTCTTCCATATGCCAACAAGTCTTCAATAAGGGTAAAAGTGATGTTAAATATTCAATTTATTCATTTCATTAGTCACTTATATTTCTTAAATTTTTCTGTATGTAAAACTATAGTTATTCTCTATAAAATGTAATTTTTTGTTATATTTTTGGGTGACTGAAACGGATTAATTAGATTTACGTTATTTCTTATGGGAAATATTGCTTCAGTTTTCATATGATTCGGTTTTCGAAACATTTTTTTAGAATGGATTAATCACGAAAACAGAGGTTTCCACTGTAATGATTATGATAATATTTTATTTTTGACATGATGCATGTATGTACAAGTATTATAAGATGGAAAAACAGGAATAAATAAACTGGATGCAATCACATGCTAAAAGTATCTAACCAAGAGAGACTCGTCATTAGTTTCAAATTGGAAAAATTTAGGTTGATGATAAAAAAATCTTGTAGTTTCAAAAATAGTTTAGACAAATACTTGAGAGGGTGTGGGTGGCTGAGAGTTGGACCTGACTGGCTTGGGCCAGTTTTTTGATGCATTGCTTCTCCTTTCTTAAGTGGATTTGACTTGGAGTATTAATAAATTGTAATTGAGTAGAATAATTGTCACTGACCCCATCATTTATTTTTTTATAATGTAAAGATCAAGTGGAGGCGGGTAAAGTCCACTGTAGTGGGTAGCGATGATGTTGAGGCGGTGTAGTCACCGATGCAGCTTGTTACCATACTTATATGTTAAGGGTAGAAGGGACCTACTCCCATCCTTGATATAACGTTGAGTACAGGTTTATTGCATAAATAAATGGGACGAATACCCTCTTACAATAAACTTTACATTATTCTTTGGAAATATTGCACTATGACATAACTATAGGAATCATTACTAGGGGTAGGAAATGTTTGTACATATCTCCACTCATTCTTAAGTCACTAGCTGACCTGAGCTCCACCTGGAGCATACACCCCCCTCTGTCTGGGCCATCCAAATCTCAACACTACTTATTTAGTCTTCTGAATCCCACAGCTACTATTATTTAAAAACACTTTCCCATGGAAAGTCTCTATACTTGCCTACTTCCAGAAAAAGCTAACATCAGATAACAGGCAAAGGGTGGTACAAAGTTGAATTAACATGAACAAGACGCTGGAGCCTGCAGATTGGCATTATAGACACTGGGTCTGCAGCTCCCTAGCTGAAATGTGAACCTGTTTCTTGACCCAGTGGTAAGGTTTCTCAATATCACTTTTTCTTCATTCTTTTTTTTTTTTTTTAAATTTTTCCTCTATATAACCTGTTATGCAGATATTATTGAAGTGCTAAAAATTTCAACTTTATCCCTTCAGGTTGAGTGCAAAATCTTCAGGAAAGGATACAGTTGATGAGATCCTGAAGGGGCTGGGATATGGACTAGCCGCTATTGTGGTGCTGTTGGATTTGTGGGTAGCAGCACCAGTTGTTCTCAGAGGTTTGTTTCTCAATTTTTTTTTTATTTTGCAGTCCCTCGTACCATTTTCTTACATCATTGCTTTAATTTTTGCCTTTTACCTGGTAAAAATTTATACTTTCTCAGTAAAACTGTACCAGTGGTAGACCAATTTTATAAACTGAAAGATTTATACACGTCTTCATACGATTGTCATTATAATTATTTTTTCTTTAGTTTCACCAGTATTTTTTTTACACATCTAGCACTTGCCTATTACCTGGAGAGAGTTCCGGGGGTCAACGCCCCTGCGGCCCGGTCTGTGACCAGGCCTCCTGGTGGATCAGAGCCTGATCAACCAGGCTGTTGCTGCTGGCTGCACGCAAACCAACGTACGAGCCACAGCCCGGCTGGTCAGGAACCGACTTTAGGTGCTTGTCCAGTGCCAGCTTGAAGACTGCCAGGGGTCTGTTGGTAATCCCCCTTATGCATGCTGGGAGGCAGTTGAACAGTCTCGGGCCCCTGACACTTATTGTATGGTCTCTTAACGTGCTAGTGACACCCCTGCTTTTCATTAGGGGGATGTTGCATCGTCTGCCAAGTCTTTTGCTTTCGTAGCGAGTGGTTTTCGTGTGCAAGTTCGGTACTAGTCCCTCTAGGATTTTCCAGGTGTATATAATCGTGTATCTCTCCCGCCTGCGTTCCAGGGAATACAGGTTCAGGAACCTCAAGCGCTCCCAGTAATTGAGGTGTTTTATCTCCGTTATGCGCGCCGTGAAGGTTCTCTGTACATTTTCTATGTCAGCAATTTCACCTGCCTTGAAAGGTGCTGGCTATGATTATTGAAATTTGGTTAGAGTATGGTATGTAAGTTTACCTGGAGAGAGTTCCGGGGGTCATTGCCCCTGCGGCCCGGTCTGTGACCAGGCCTCATGGTGGATCAGGGCCTGATCAATCAGGCTGTTACTGCTGGCTGCACACAATCCAACGTACAAACTACAGCCCGGCTGGTCAGGTATCGATTTTAGGTGTTAAGAGATTTTTCACTAGTGGCTTGGGTCTGGCAGTTTTTTCCTCAGCTCCACTAGATTTAATCACCTAGTACAGTATCAGAATCTTTATTTTTACATGTTTAACTCAACAACTGAAAACCTTTGTGGATTCAAGTAAATGCCTTATGGTTTTCAATGCAAAGTGGGGAATTTCGTAATTATTTTCGAACAAATGGTCATCTAGTAATGAATTAAGGTTGTCTGAATGTGAACTTGAAGTTGACTATATTCTTATTGAAGTCAGCCCTTCCACATGTCCCTAACTACAGGTATAAAGTGAATCTTAGTAGACAGCGACTTTTCCAATTTGATAGAGCGCTATTCCTGTCGTATCTGTGTATATGGTCTATTCTGATGACTAGTCGCTGATGGCATGAGGTTTGTGGTAAATATTGTTTGGGATTTCATAGTACTAAATTGCTAGTTGAGTATTGTTTTCACTTGAGCTCCATGTTATCCTTGCCATGTTTGACATCACTGCTGGTTCTCTTATTCCTATGCTTTGTTGAAAATGATGCTGCATGCACATTCATGTTGAGTAAAAATGTAGCTGGTTTGCCAGCATCAGGCACAAGGCCATGATTTTACCTGGGATAACATTGTGGTTGTAGACATTGAATTTGCAAATGCTTAGGCGACTCCAGGTTCATTATTCAGCATACCATTTTGTTCGTGATTTTCTCAAAATTATCATTTTTATGGATCTTTCAAGCTGTTGAGGAGTCGGGAAAATTTGTCACTCGAGGATCGAGCATTTGTGCATTCTTCATGCACTGAAACTTTATTGCAGACATTTGATATTGCAAAACAGAACTGTTATACTACATGAACTAACCAAAATGAATATTGGTGGTAGCTTACTCTGCTGGATAATAGGATACCTGTCAAATAGTATCCTCTGTCCTCTACCAAGGCTTTAGAAGCGAGTCTAAAGAAATGTCCCTAGGTACTCCGCAGGGAGGACTTCTTAGTCCCATGCTATTTAATATTCTGATTGATGCTCCTAAATGCTCTACCTACCTCACCTAAACATATACATGTAGCTATAAGCTATGCTGATGACATCATGATCCACACAACAGGGCATAAGAAGATAAGTACCATTCTTAATGAAGTTCAAGCAATTTGTAATCGACTAGGCCTCATAATATCTTCCTCTAAAACAGATATTAAGCAAATGACGTCCCCTACTAGTCTATTTGCAGGGTGAAAACATTAGCTACGTTAAGACTTAGATAGCTTGGTGTAGATGTAACCTTTAACAAATCCACTATACCACAACTAAATAAGAAATGCAAAGATGGGCTAAATGCTCTCAAAGATAAGATTTCGTTCGGATTTTTAACCTCGGAGGGTTAGCCACCCAGGATAACCCAAGAAATTCAGTGCGTCATCGAGGACTGTAACTTATTTCCATTGGGGTCCTTAATCTTGTCTCCCAGGATGCAACCCAAACCAGTCGACTAACACTCAGGTACCTATTTGCTGCTAGGTGAACAGGACAACAGGTGTAAGGAAACGTGTCGAAATGTTTCCACCCGCCGGGAATCGAACCCGGGCCCTCCGTGTGTGAAGCGGGAGCTTTAGCCACCAGGCCACCGGGCCACCTACCAGGCTACAACCCCAACTATGGTGCTAATGTGAGAATCGTGAGTGATGCATATAGCTTATGTCAGGTCCTTATTGATTATGCTGCTCCCTTGTTGATATTAGCTAGAGAAAGTTCTTTCCGACCCTTGGAGTTAATGAAGCTCTCAGAATTATTCTTGGTTGTCCCAAATCTACAAACGCTCTTAATATGAGGAAGGAGCTAGATATTTATAGTATCAGTGATAGGATTGTTGAGATTAACATGTTGTTTTG